GTATGTGTGTATGTATGTATGTGCGTGTATGTATGTATGTATGTATGTATGTATGTATGTGTGTGTGTGTATACACACGTATACATACATGTAGATGTGTATATGTGTACATATAATATACATATATATAGATGTGTATATATATATATATGTGTATATATATATATTATACATGTATGTAATGTATGTGTATATATATATATATGTTTGTGTGTCCTATTCTATCCAACCCACTATCCTATCTAGTCCGGCCTAGTCCAGTCCAGTCGAGTCGGGTCGAGTCTAGTCTAGGAGAATACGGTGCAGTGTAGTAAAGTATAACACAGTATATTACAGTACAGTATAGAACAGTACTGTATAGCACAGTATAGTACATTATACATATATATATACATATATATATATATTTATGATTTTATGTGTATGTATACATATGTATATGTGTATGTATGTATACATATATATATATATTATTTATTTATTCATTTATTTATTTGATTGTGTATTTATTTAGTTCGTTTTTCTATGTACACATCTGTTGCGTTCTTGTTGCATCTTGCTTAAACTAGCACTGCTTACACTGAGACACTTAACCTTCACGCTAACTCGTTCTGTACTACAGGTAGTCTGCTTCGGTATCGTGATTCTCCTCTTCCTCTTCCTGCACCTGCTAGAGCTACTGGTACCAAGAGCTCTAACGAAGAAGACCCCGACGTCCTACTGTCATGACTCTCGCAAGCATGTTAGGGTTTAGGGTTTACCCTAAACCCTAAACTCTTAGGGTTTAGGGCTTAGGGTTCAGGGTTTAGGGCTTAGGTCCACCTTTGTTGAGACCTTTCTTCTTCAGCTTCGGCTCCTGGAGTTGTGTTGAAAGCTGAAGAAGAAAGCTAAATAAAGGCCAGGGGTTCTGGAAGAAGGGCTTTGTTCTAAGGGGGCCTTTTTTTTTTAAGCACCTTTTTCCGTCAGCACAAGGGGGTCTTTAGGGTCTGGGGTTTAGGGGGTACTTTTAGTTTAAGAGCTTGTATAAGGTTGAGGGTTACCATACAGGTTATGATGACGATCGAGGAAAGTAATTATCGACAGACTGCCCGAACTGAGCGGCAGGCGTTGAATGCCGTAGTGTCGGATCGGGCAGCTTAGTAAAAACTCGACCCTGAAAATTACAATCTCTGGGGCTGGGGGCGGAAGGTGGATATGGAACGTGGTGCTGAAGCCTACAATGACCTGCAAGCCTTTACCTTGTGTTGCCTGCTGCCTTCTGCATCGACCTGTGACGATGACTGTTTTGGTCAGGTCCGTGACATGCGTAGCTTGTCATACTGTGCATCTAGCTGGGAACTAGTTTACTATGCTTTGCAAGAGCCATCAGCACGGAGAGGTCTCCTCACCAGCCCCAGCCGTCGAAACGTTCAATTCCAGCATGACTTCCACGACAACGTCGATCAGTCTGATGCTTTTCGCGAAGCAGCACATCCCACAATACCGACACGGGCACTCGTTTGACTTGTCTCCTGCACCTTGCACGTCCGGTCTGCACTGGATAAAGAGCCGCGCTCAGCTTTACGGACTCCACACATGCCCCACGTCACAACATGTCACAACTTCGCTTTTGCCTATGAAGACCCGGGGTCTGACCCGTGGACCATATGGGAGTTTCCTAAATAGAGGACCATAATATAGGACCCTAAATAGTAGGATCCTCATTATAAGGTACCGTAAAATAAGGTACATACGACAAGGGTAGGGACACTGGGTGAATTCTCTCCGGTGAGACTCCTGCTAGGTCTCTGCGACCCACGGCTCGTCCCCCCTTTTTGCGCTTGGCGCAACTTTCGGGGACGAGCAGAGCAAAGATTCCAAGGTGAAACCTTCCTGCTTTCCTGCTTTATTACACATTTAAAGCACGCCCTGGCTACCTTGCAATGCGAGAGGCGGAAAGCCTGCATTCCCGCGGAATTGTTCTACTAGTATAAAACACGACTGTCAAGCTCAAGTGGCCGGAATATTTCAGGCTCGATTGGCTGTGACCTCAGGCCGCAGTTCAAGATGCTCCTGCTTCACACTTCGAGCAAATCTGACAAAGCTTTCACAGGGAGCTGATCTCAGACGAAACTGAAGGTGCCCCTCTCGCACGGGCCCTGAAGCTCAGATCCGTGGGTTCCAGGGCTGCGGCGGTAGTGTAAATGTGCCCGCCCTTTTTTCGGAAGAGGTTGATCTCTGCCTGACAAAGGTTCGCCGGACTTCAAGGAACTCGTCTGGAAAGCACATGCTGCTCTCAGCTGGTCTGGCGTAGTCGAGAAGATCCCGATCTCGGTGTAGTAGCTGGCTGTGCAAGACCAACCCCGTTTGCCATGTGGTGGCATGGTTCACCACATGACAGCCTTGCCTGCAAAGTCGCAATCTCCTTCGTTTGCAGCGCAAGAAGATCTTTGCATCTTTCGCGCTCCTGGGCGGCTGGATGTCTCATGCACATGCATACTGCTGTGATCAGCGCTCATGTTCTTACTACTGTTCCTGTCCCTTGACACTAGGCGCGCTGCCATACGTCGAAGTTCATTCAACGGCTCATTGTCGTTCACCGTGACCTCACGGACTCAAAGTGCTATCTCCGCTACGACTGCTTCAACTCGGCGAGTCGGAGCCCATGGCTAGGGCTGCTGCATTTGCTATTCTCGCATTAAGCGCTGCGTCCAGCTGCATTTGCGAGTAGCCTTCGGGGCAGCGCTTGCACCCTCGAGTCCGCACGTTGGAACCTCGGGTCCTGCTTAGCCACAGGCCGTAGCTGAGACCCTTGCCCATGCTGACAATCTGTTCCATGAGCGACGTATTGTCGCACGTGATCTTCGTCAGCTCCTTCTTCTGCTTCTCTATCCTTCCGACTGACTCATGCTTCTGGCATGCAGGTTTCCAGCTTTGTCTTAGGTGCTAGCTGCTAACACTTATAGTAACGCATATAGTCAGTCTATATAGTAACCCATAGTGGTTCTTATTCTTATGTTAACCCTCATCTTACAGTAATCCTGTACTGTAGCATTCTAGCCGGGGGAGCTAGTCACTCCTCAGAGGTCCTTGATGTATCTCTAAGATCTCTAAGTTTTTCGATTTGGATTGGGTTTAGGATTTACCTCAAATGTCAGCAATACGTGTTTGGTTCCTGCAAGACGAACCCTGAAGCCGACACCCAATATCATGCACCGTTTGGCGTTGGGCCTAAACCACAAACTTTAAACCTTAAACCCAAAAACCTAACCCGCCTCTTCTCCCAGTCGGCGATGCGGCGCCGGTGCTCCGCCTCGGCCTGCAGCACGCTCTGCTGGAGCTCCTGGCAGAAGTCCCAGGTGCGTGCTCCTGAGGATGACCACCCACTACGTACTACCTACTACCTTTACTTGATGACCAAGGTTTGTAATGAGAGGACTAGTAGTTGATGTGATAAAGTCCTCAAACCTGACACCCGACACTAGCGCCTCCGTTTTACTACTTCCCAGAACGATCTAAACATTTGAAGCTCGCGCTTGGTGTGCGCTCGAGCTTCCTTTTGGCCTGTCGGAAGCAGTTCCCTTGACTGCGTTCTCGCATCCTGCTCTTCGTGGTAGCTTTCGTACGAGTTTCAAGGGCTTCGACTCATCGTCATGAACATGACAACAATGACAAGTACAACCTTTTCCTACTTCTCAAAGACCCTTAAGAGCTGCAAGGGTACTTAGCTGCTAGTTAGTGGTGGGTAATTGGTAGCTGATAGTTGGTAGCTGGTAGTTGGCAGCTGGTAGTTGGCAGGTAGTAGTGACTACTGACTAGTGACTAGTTACTGGTTAATAGTTAGGAGGTGGTAGGTTTAATAGTTAGAAGGTGGTAGGTGGCAAGTTGTAAGAAGTAGTTGGAAGTTAGAAGTTAGTAGCTACAAAATGGTCAGTGGTTACCTGTTCGTAGTTGGTAGCCAGTAGCTAGTAGTTAGTAGTTAGTACGTAGTAGCTACTGTAAGGAGGAGGACGAGGAGGGACGAGGAGGGAGGAGGAGGAGAAAGAGCAGGTAGAAGCAGCTCTGGCACTTGTGGCTGCTTTGACGCCTAACACAGGAACTGCCTAATACTAACTATAATTCGGACATATTCCGACTCATGCTTATGACTAACTTGTTACTTATGACTCCGTTTGTGGCTGTGGCACCTGGGGTATGCCAGTCCTGAAGTAACTTACCCGGAGCGCTTCGCTCGATGAGATCCAAATCGACAATCTGCCCGAACTTGAGCATCTGGATGTCCTCTCCGGCACCCCGAGCGTTGGCTTCAGAGTTCACAGTTCAAGCACCATCGATCCTTCGCTCTGTGATTTGGGGACAGATGGATCGAAGAACACCAGTCGGGCCTCAATATAGACTCACAAAACCCTCGTCCAGTCCTGGAACTTTGCATGGAGATCCTGCGGAGATGTCGCACTTCTGTTCTCAATCGTGGTCAATGCCGCTTAATCCCTCATGCCGCCATGGCCTGTCTTTTGTACAGGCATGCCCACCTTTCAGCCTTTGCGTCAACTAAGTCTCCGCGACAATCCTGGATGTGCTGCAAGGCCACACTCTTGTCTTTCTTGCGAACGCGGAAGTCACGCTGAAGCCTAGGGCGGTCGACTCGAGCACCCCCAAGCTCAGCTGAAGTTGCGACATCATTGCCCATGGCAAGCTACGAGCTAAGGCTCTGGCTGCTTGTGCCTTGCTTTGACCTGGTCAGAACTTGGATGTCGGCAGTGGCCATTGTGGCGACTTTGGTGCTGCTGATGATGATCATGGCGATGATGAGGATGACGATGAGGATCATGGTGGTGGTGGTGGTGGTGGTTCTGATGGAGTGCCTCAGAAACGAAAGAAGTAGGAAGCCTGGCCTCCTTGATCTCCTGGTGGAGCTCCGTGATGCGAGTCATCAGGCGGTCCAGGCCCTGGCCACAAAAGCCGCCTACCCTGCTAGGGCAAGCCAAATCAGAGCGATCGCCGCGACGAATACTCGCCATGTTTCAGTTGCGACTTGACAGAAAATGATGCCCTGTCGGGCCTCATTTGTGAAGATCACCTGCTGACCTAGCTCGGCTGGGAGACGCTCCTGCCTGACCAGGAAGCGATCTGACAACTGGGCAACTTCGATGCTACGAAACCATCGATACACGTGTGCTCACTATTAAAATTTGGACATCAGGAGTACGCCGAGCGTGTTTGGCATGTCACACGACTGGGGTAGCTGCCCGTCGCTCTGGTCTGCAGATGATAGGCACTGAACCTGGCATCAGGCACGTGAAAAAGCAGCAATTCCTGCAAGCTTGGTGACTGATGATACTGCGCATGGAGAGGCATTCTGCAAACTGAGATGTCATAAGTACCACTTGCTTCTGCATGCATCAGTCATCAGACTACGTAACGTGAAGTTGCAAGAAGAACACGATGACGACTATGCATCGGAGAAGATAGGGCAACATTCCTTCCGATCGCCTGCGACAGTCGCAAGGCGAACACGATGGGCACCTGACAAGGCCAGTCGAGAGTTGCTCACACTCAGACTCACAAGATGAGTATGTACTGTCGAACTGTGCATCCACAAACCGAATACAACTGCGCAACTCGGAGCTGCTGGATGCTGGCTGCAGACTATGCGACACAAGCAATCCAACAAAGAGTAGCGTCCAGCTGCTGTTGGTCACATGCCGCGTGCCAAAGTGGCAGTAGCAGGAGCAGTGGCAGTGGCAGTAGTTAATGCTACTGCAGTAGTAGTCGTCGTCGTCGTAGTCGTCGTAGTAGTCGTCGTAGTAGTCATGGTGGTGGTAGTAGTAGTAGTAGTAGTGGTGGTGTTGTACTTGTAGTTGAAGTTGTTGCTGTAATCGCAGAAGTAGCAGTAATGTCTTCTTCTAAGAATTGAAAAGCAACCCCCCCCCCCCCCTGAAATATCTAGACGAAGAATATTCAGAATGAGGGGTTCATAACTTTCATGCTGCATGCCTCAATGCATCCTTCTGGCTCCTGCATTTCGCAGTTCGGAGACGGTGGAGCACTAGATTCTCTGGCTCTGCCTCCACTCACACCTTCTGGCGCACCCTCGCTCTTGAAGTCGAATCCGTAAACTCCTGAATTCCTACTACACAGACCGGGAAAAGACAGGGAGAGGGAGAGAGAGAGAGAGAGAGAGAGAGAGACATAGAGACACCTGAAAGTTCAAGGTGCGGATTGTAGGTTCCACTCCTCCGCCCTTTAAGCGGCCAACTGCAGCTGCAGCAGCTATGTCAGAGCAGTAGTAACACACGTGACAGTGTTATGGACCGTGGCAGCAGTGGCGGGGCGTCGGAACCCTAACCGTAAACCTTAGACGACCCTCAACCCTGGAAACTAGAACATCCTAATGCCTAAACCTAAGCACTAAGCCCAAACACCCCCGCCGGCCTGGTTCAGCTTGCGCTGCTTGTCCGTCTGGAATTGCTGAATCTCCGCATCGGTCCGCCTCTGCTCCTGAGATGCCACGAGGGATACTGGGGTATCATGGGGTGTTGGGGTGCTTAGGTAGGGATTTATAGATTTTAGGGGATTCGTGTATGGGATGGTTTAAGGACGACGGCTTTAAGTAGGAGAACTGTGAGCCTCACACACTCCACGGGATTCGAAGGCTATCGTGCTTGTGTTGCGCATGCATGTATGTACGAATCTTTGCCTTTATATATATGTGTGTATAATGTTGTATAACGTATCTTTACATGTATACATACATATATATATATATATTTCTATACATAGATATATAGACACATATATGTCTGTACCTGTGTGTATATATATAACACAAAGTTCCTGCGCATAGATTTGGACACAAACTCTCCATGCACATATCCGGCAACATCCTTACATACGGTTCTGACATAAACGATTTTAAAATATTTCATCTTTTGCGCGTTTCCATGTAACTCCCTTAGCCCGGAACCAGTAAGGGGCTCAATTAATAACAAACTAGAATAGGGTATCTTATAGAATAAATACAATAAGGAACCCTGAGGAGCATAACATGATATAATGTACAAGGATACAATCGAAGAGAATAGCACTGTGATAGACTATAACACAAACACACATATACATATATAT